AATTTACTTCACTAGTCTCAGAGGCATCCGGAGAACGTTTGAGGATTGCTACACTGTGAGAATGATCCTGAAGAGCTACAGAGTGAATGTGGATGAGAGGGATATCTCCATGGACAGTGCTTACAAGAAGGAATTACAGAGTGTGCTAGGGGGGGAGAAGAGTGTGACTGTTCCCCAGGTTTTCATCAAAGGGAAGCACATTGGGGGGGCTGAAGTGATAAAGCAAATGAACGAAGTAGGCGAGTTGGTTAGATTACTTAGAGGGCTGCCTGTGCGCCCGCCTGGATTCGTATGTGAAGGATGTGGAGACGCAAGGTTCATCCCTTGCTCCAATTGCAGTGGAAGTCGGAAACTGTTTGATGAGAAAGACGGGCAGCTAAGGACATGCCCGGATTGCAATGAGAATGGTCTCATTCGGTGTCCCATTTGCTGCCGTTCGTGATATTGATGCATTCGTTCGTGATGTTAATGCATTATACATCACCTGTGACGGTTCGTTTTCTCTTTTTTTGGTATCTGTAAAATTAAATAGGTTTTGCATCAAATATTATTATATTATGTTATGCCGAGTTGATAATGTACATATTACTGTGTGGGTGACAACTTGTTACCCAATGTTATATTTTAAAATTGAGATGAATGTTTGGAGTGGCACTTTGGTCTATAAGACTCTTAAGGACTATATTTGCTTCTGCTGCTCATTTTATGCAGATTGTGTAAATTATGAAAGGCTGCATAAAGAAAATAAAGATAAGGAAAAAAAACACCTTTTGATGCCTCATATCTTTATACGCAGTACTACGTATATGTTAAATTGTATGCTTTACATTCAAGTTTCCTGAATCCTGATGGGGGCTTGCAAGCAAAATAAGAGCTTGTTTGGTTGATAAATGTACTGAAAGGAAATGCTTTTGGTAGAAGGAATTCAAATAAGTAAACAGCTGTTAATCTCCACCCAAATGGAGCCTGTATTTGCTTCTTATTAAAAAACTGCTACCCTACTATGCTAGAACTGTTAATTCTAGTTAATTGCTTAAACATATTATGATGATTGAGGAAAAACCTAGAAAGACTTGACACAAATTCATTTGTGGAAATTGAATATGTGAGTCTGCATTTGGGTAAGGCCCTCAAGGTTGTTAGCGTTTAACCTTTATGTTAAGGTAAAATGCTACCCCATTCTGCAAGTCAGAAAAAATGGTTTACTTACTCCAATGAATGTTATATTTTATTTTTTCACAATAACTATTTATTGGCTTGAGGCCAAGGGACAGTGGTCTATGCGTTAGGATTCAATTATATACCACTTCAATATGGTGTTCTCAAGTCCAACCTTTTCTAAACCTTTCATTTTTTGTGTAAATATCCATCCTTTTTAGTTCAGATTGGCTATGATACCAAGATATTGGATATGGAGGCAGATTTTTTGGTTTATCCAATGCTGTTCGATTTAATCACAAGTTAAATTTCTCCTTTGTGGACGTTGAGACTATTGTGTTAACTGTGGGAAGTTTGAATTAGATTTATCCTTGGTATTATATTATCCTTGGTTCTTGATTACTCCCCTTTGTGCTTGTCATCACTTGCACGTCAACATGTTGGGGTGTGGGCAAATCATCTTCAATATTATGAATGAAATGCCAATCTTGCATGTTTCTATTGTCATGGGCTGAATGCCCCTCGGGCCTGGGTCTGCAATCTGTTAAGTTGGTTGGTCCTTACTCCTTAGTTGACCTAAAAAAATCATTTCTACATTAAACTAAATTTCTAGGGGTTTGTTCGGGAAGCGTATATAGTACAGCCAGCTGTACGGTGCCAGCCGTACAGCCGGTGCAAACTTGTAATTTTGGTGATAATCTCGGATTTTCTTAAATGAGCATTGAATCAATTTTGAAAGAATGGCACGTATAATACCAATAGGAACTCTAAAGACAAAAACAGGACCCCTTTTCCGTTTTTCCCAAAATGAGACCATTTGTATTGTGCAATTACTAATTTAACCTTACACCTTATCACTATTCTTCTCTTCTCTAACCCCATCTTCCCTCTGATATGTTTCTTTCTCCCTGCACCAAACTTGGACCATGATTCTCCTTGTGCCTTCTCCTCTCATTCGTCTAAGTCTCAGCCCATCGCCTGCAGCCTTCGCCGCCCGCCACCTTCGTTTCCTGCCGCATCGCCAACTTCATCGCTCACTGCATCGCTTGCTGCATCCCAATCTCCTTCTGTTTCTTCTCTTTCTGATTGACCCATGGATGGTGACGGTTTCCATGACTCAACCGGCAAATCTGATCTCGGTACTCAACTGTTGAGGGTGAATCCGGATAAGATGTAGTTTCATTGCGGCGGCTAGGGTAGGACGGCGGTGGACTGGGAAGAAGTGGGTTGGGCTTGTCAGACTTGGATCTGGGGAGGAGGCAGCGAACAGGACGGGGTGTGGGCTGTTGAACAGGTGTGATTGGGGCAATGAAGTTGGGATTGTCATGGCGGCGTGGCGGCAATGTTGTTCCTGCCGCTAGAGATGTCAGGGGTGGGGTGGTCACTGACGTGGTGGTTGGTCACCCACTTTGGTGCGCGAGGAGATGGTTGCCGGAGGGGGAGGTTGCCGGCAACAGTGGTAGGAGCTTTGACTGTTTTGAGGGTTGTGATTTGGGATTTCAGTTAGAGACGGGCGGGGATGCCGGCCGCTGGAGTGAGTGTGATGCTCATGTCACGGCGGCCATGGCGGCGGATGGCGATGTTATCATAAATTTGCTTGGAAAAAGTGTTGTTGGATTGTTTGTAACTTAATTGTAATTGATCGGGTCCGGTAATTGTAATTGATCGAATCGAGTAACTGTAACTGGTAAAATTGAATAAATAAAAGTAGATGAGTTGAGTAACTGTAACTGATTAGGTTAAGTAACTGTAACTGGACAGGCGGGCGTTGGTCACTGGACAGACGGACGTTGGTACTGACCGTGCGGAAGTCACTATGTTATTGGGTGGAATTTTTGGTAACAAATGATTTTTGATCATTGGTGAAATTTGAATTTTTGGTCACTAATATTTTTTTTGTGATTTTGGTCATTGACATAATTTGGTCACTGACGGATTTTGGTCACTATGGTGTTACTGGTCACTGTGACGTTACTGTAGCACTAATAGGGGTATAATAGTCTCCTAATCACTTTTTAGTCTTATTTTTGGAAATTTGAGAAAAAGGTCACTTTTTTGTCCATATCTCTTTTTTATTATTATTTTAGACAAAACCCCATCAATTTTGATGAGCATCGAGCATGTTCTTTTGAATATTAGGAGCGTAACGGTGATCATTAGTGATATCTGCTTCATTCCTCATGTATCACATGCTGTTTATTATTTTTTCGTTTATTTAAGTCTTAAATGTACTATGCCTATAATCAAGTTCATTTCATTTCAATATGTGAACCTAATGATTATGATATGTTAACATGTGCAACCTTTTCAAATGAGCATAAAATAGTACCAAATGAGCATACATAACTTACAAAATGAGTATCAAAATATTCAAAAACTCATTTGTGTGTGATCATCCATTTTGGGTGTTATACTCATTTAAGTTTAACATAAAACTCATTTTGAAATATGTATGAATATGACATTTTAAAATGAGCATTGCACATATATCAAATGAGCATACATAAGTTACAGAATGAGCATTCAGAAAACTCATTTGAAATGTCTACTATGCTCATAATTTCATTTGTTATGCTCATATCTGAAGAATACGTACAACTTAGATTTCTCTAACCTGTGGCCAACAAGTGACCAAACTCACACACCACACTTGGGTAAGAAAAAGAGAAAAAGGAAGAGTCCAGAGCAAGAATGAGGGAGAAGAAGCAACTACGGCTATACACCAGGAGCCGCCGCCGCAAGAGCCGCCCTCAAGCCGGTGTTGTGCTCGTGTTGGAGGTTGCGGTTGTCGAGAATCGTCATCTGCGTAGGCGGCGCTCGAAGAACGAGAATAATCTGCGATGGAAGCTTGTGAACTGCGATGGAAGCCCATAGACGCCTGCGAACCGCGATGGAAGCCCAACACTTGCGATTAGCGAACTAAAAGGCCGGTTGTACCGTGCGCACGGTACAACCGGCTGTATGATGGAATTTACTTAAAATGTTATTGACATATGATTTATCGAAAAAATGTGACTAAAGTTTTTATGAAAACGTTGTCATGGTTGCAACATACTACTATAATTGAACGTAATCATGATCACGAGAAGTTATCTAATTAGTCATATACAAAAATTTATTACCTCCGTCCCAAAAAAAATCGTTACATTTTGGATTTTGAGGTTGGACCGATGTCTGTAATCAAAATTAGAAAGTTATAAAAATAAATTTCTCCCCGACAATTTTGTAATCAAAATTAGATAAGGAGTATTAAAATTTACACACATACTACATCTTATACACTATAAATCTATAAGGTCGCAAAATTTAAATTCAAATATAATAAAATTTTGATATAGATATCGAAAGTGGAATAGTAATTATTTTCGATTGTCATTTATTGCATCACATGGGAATCGAGAATTTGGTACATATAATAGGTTCTCATATTTCCAACATGTGCTTATAGTACTTGTATTTCACTTCATTTTTTAAAATGAACACATTCATTGACTAAGTTTCCAATTGTGCTGCCACAACCTATTTCTCCAAGAAATAGTAAATATGTGGTCTTCCTTCTTCAAAACTTTTGCTATTTATAAGTTATACCTTTATGACTATGTAATTGTCATGACATTCTTTTATGGGTAGTTCTCTTCGTGAAATTCTAGTTACCATGTAATTCGTCATGACATTCTTTTATGAATAGTTCTCTTCGTGATACATCAAATTGGCTTGTGTATATAGATCCTTATGATCCACGTATGACAAAAACAGAAAGAGAGTATAAGACATCCAAGTAAATAACTTTGAAAATTGTTAAGAAACTTCATTTGAAGCATTCAAAAAGGGTATTCCACACTCCACATTATACACAAAATTTTCCTTCCCCTTTAGGATTTCTATTGAGTGAGAGGAACACATTCCAGCTCAATCTCTAGGACACCCCTCTCAACATTCTGAAGCCTTATAGATATCTCTTGTTTGACCTTCCCCTCCACCAGCTTTATAATACTATCCCTCACCAGTGTGTTCTCTCTGCTTGCCTCCCATTTCCCCAAATGAGCAGCCTCCTCCGGACTTGAGCCCTCGGATGCTTTTGCTGCCACCACAAGTGGTTGAATGTCAATGTCAGCTTCCCCCATGAAATCGTCTGTCGTGAAAGTGTCCTTATCATACACTAGCTGCACACACAATCGTTCCACCACCAAACTCAACTTCATATCATGTGTATCACTATATATTCAAAAAGAAATGAAAATGCTTCTTACCACTTTTAAAGGAGGAATGGTGTCTGGGATTGATAGCATCAGCTTCTCATTCCATACCGGGTTTAGATTGTTTTTTATGACACGCGTCTTCACTGACTGAAAAAACAAAACCCGACTCAGTGAGAGCCAAGAATAGTTCAGCCTTTCTAAGCTTACGATCATGTTGTTATTAATATTTAAAGTTTCACTTGAAATCGTTAATCTAATAGAAACATAAATTAATATCGCAGTAAATCAAATACTAATATCTAATATGGTGGTATTTTTGGGAATATACCAAATCTAAATTTTCCCCAATAACCTCCACTATTGAGGTTCTATCATCATATGTGTGAGGGAACTATACAAAATACCAGCTGTTAAATTTGTGTGTTTATTTTTTTAGCTTATCACTTTAAATTCTATTATGACATATGTTTCATCCTTAGAGGCCCCCTTGATCGGATTTGATAGGACGAGTAGTCAATAATGCTATATGCTAGTTTGTAGGGGTGAACACCCATCATGGTTAACAATAGTTTGGACCATATAGTTGTATACACAAGTCATTAGACACATAGTCTCACACCTCTATTTAGATTGCACATTTTGTTGTTTTGAGCTAACATCATTGCTACATATTGGATTGACTCCGATATTATATTAAATTGGGTATAGCCCCCGTTGAAAAGTTTTTGGTTTGCTAAAGATTTGAGGTACAATTCTATAGGTGTAATGGCCATGCCTAGCAATGAAACATTTATGTTGATTACCTGGGCTCCCAATGACAAAATAACGTAAGGATCGCTGGTTACAACATCCCGAACAGCGAGGTGGGTCCCTCTCACCACATTGACTGATACAAGCCCGATGAATTCGACCATACCTGCCTATATAGGTAAAAGTGTCAACAACTATAAGTTGAGTGAGTCCACCTCTTGTGAAAAGGAAATGTTAGTCATCCTTCAGATCGACTTCTTACCATAGAGCTGCTTTTCCTACTCCGCTGGTGGTCAGAATCTTTCCTTTTTCGACTGTGGCGAAATGCGTGTCCGAAACCACCGTGGTGGTTCCGATGACCACTTGGTTGCTTCTCATATTGACATTTCCTCTCTAGGGATGGGCTAGAATAATATGCTAATGAATCACAATAAGATGACGCTGAAGATGAAAATGGGCATATCATCTCTAGGTCGTAGTTCAAAAATTGCTGAAGTTCATATTTTCTCCTGGTCATCCATCCAAATGACTGATGTTAAAGTTCTCACATCAAAACACTATACTATCTATTTAATAAAAGCTCGAATGGTTATGCAATTGTTATGTCACTAATCCGTTAAATTTAATTTTGTAGTGTGATTCGTTTCTTATTTATTATGATGTGCATTTACTTTTTACATTCGAGTTAAGCTCTAACCCCAAACGTATTTCACTATATAATCCCGACACTTGATGTGATGTTCAATTATGTTTTTTAACATAATTGAACATCACATCAAGTGTCGGGATTCCATAGTTGGAAAAAGTCAATAACAAGGTATATTTATAGAAGTTCCAATTTGGAAAGAAATCGTCTCATTCCAAAATCATGGAACACTTAATTCACGCTACATGGATTATATCAAATTACAATAATGATTAAAATAGACTTCAGTAAAAAATAATGATTAAAATAGACTCATGAAAAAATATGATTGCATATAGTTACTACCTATTATAACGAGTGCAATTTTGTTCACCCCCTCCTTGGAGGGTGAACATCACCCCCATAGCTCAAATGTTGCCATTTGGCATTTCATTTCTTTTTTTGCCACATGACAAGCAAATAGGGAGAGGGGGTTATGGTCACCCTCCAAGGAGGGGTGAACAAAATTGCACTCTATTATAACTGTGTTGTAAAATTGAAAAATCAATATCTTCACTAAGATGAAAATTGAATGACAGTATGGCCACTACGCATTTTGAAGTCACATTTTGTCCATTTTTTTTTATTCAAGTACCGAGTAGCATATTTGTCATAAACTCTTGTGCGGAGCATTATTTTTATTAATTTTTATAATACTAATTATTACTACCTTATAAAGTCAGTGCGTTCTTCTATGGATGAATCTGGTTTTGGCTTTTTATAATTCTCTGGAATGGCAGCTTCATATTTCAAATTTGCAACGGCATTTCCACCCATTTCCACCAGAGAATCTACCAGCTCATTTGTCCACTCATCAAGGCTCACTGATAAAACCTGTACCATATATATACACTATATGGATATATAAATTGTACAAAGAAAACCTTTTGTACACATTTTTATTGTGTAGACAAACCTTTATCTATGACAAATAAAAATACTTTCAGAGGTGCGTACAAGTGTACAAAAAGAATCCCATTGATCAATTACTCCCTCTGTATCACATATATCTTCCCACTTCCAAAGTGGGTGGGATTAAGAATAGTGAAATGGAGTATGAATTATTGAGGGTATGATGAGAAGATGGTGAAATAATGTGAAGGAATGAAGGATAAATCCAAAAAAAGTAGATGTAGTAGTGTTTTATTTTTTAAATTATTGAGGGTATGATGGGAAGATTTAGAAATGGGAAGATATATATGTTACGTCCAAAGAAGAAAAGTGAGAAGATATGAATGTTACGGAGGGAATATTATGTTATGCACTAGTAATAAAAATATCTTTGTTACTAGAGTACCTTTGATATATGGACCCCAAGGCTTCTGTGTACACCAGAACACTTGATACATATAGCCACTCCAAGACTCACAGATCTGATGATTATCAGCGTTAAGCCATTTTGTAACCAATTTCATTACACTATATTAATAAAAAATATACTCTGTAATTTAAATAGTATTTTTTTTTTCATAATTTAGCTGATTCAGTCACTTTAATCAGAATTTCATTAGTTTCAACAGATAATGCCGTATCAATCAATTTATGTGTTACACAAACTTATAATTACTCCGATACAAGTTAGGGCTAGTAAATAGTACGGAGTACTATTTAATTACTCCCATACAAGTACTTAATTGGTATACATCTTACATCCATTTGGGCTCTGGAGACCCACAATCTGCACAATATCTATTGCCTGGCTCTTTCATCAAAGCCTGCAATCTAACCCGAGGACCTGAAACACAAAGAAGTAGGAAATGAAAATGTAAAATCAATAAACGAACAATCAATACTTGTAAAAGATTCCATTATTCTAAGAGTATTGAAACCCCTGACTCTTTTTTCCGGACAGAGGCAGAGGAATCATTTTAAGATTATGGGAGCGAGTTAAATTTTTCAGATTTTAGAATGGTGACATTTCAAATGGAAAATAATATGTTTTTCTTTCTTAAATGGGAGTGAAGTAATCCATAATGATATTATAATGTTTTACTGGGAAGTGAAACAAGTTTAAGTGAACATTTTTATTATGAAAATATGGTTTAGTATGATAATACTTGATCGTAGAAATACATAATGTTTCTATTTAGAATAATCACCTTATTTTTATTCCTATTCAAGACAATTTATTGAACGAATTTGAGAATAGAAAGGTAATATACTTAAAGAACGGTCATGCATTTCCAATTGACGGCGAAAGCTTGGAGTGATTTCCAATTGTAGAAGCTCATAGAGGCAGGAGCCTACACCATCACACGAATAAATTATTTCATTGTCAACCACACCAACACCAAGAAGTAGAATCTACTCATCATAAATTTGAAGTCCATGTGGTAATGAAAACATCATAATCCACAAAAGACAACAAAACCATATACTCCCTCCGTCCCCCTAAGTTTGGGACGGAGGGGTGTGGTTTTTAAGAAAAAGTGGAATTGTGTGGTTGGTATTGAATTGATAAAGTGTAGATAAAGTAAGAATGAATTCTAACCACTCAAATGTTACCAAATATGGTATGTGACAAACTTAGTGGGACGGACCAAAAAGGTAAAACGGGACAAACTTAAGGGGACGGAGGGAGTACTTCATATTAATTATACTAAACTTTAACATTAACATGGTGGGATAAATATGAAATAGAAAAAAATTACACAAAATAAATTGAAATAAGTATGAAATAGAAAAAAAAATACACAAAATAAATAGAAAAAAATAAGTTACTCTAAGTTTCAATTCAACATAGCCCAATCATCCTCTGCCTCCACACAAACTAAATATGATTTGGTTTACATTTACTTTTGTCAAAAACCCGTATAATTTTCAAATGTAAGTTTTGTCAAAAAAATTAAGGGATCTCACATGACTCTCTTATGGAGTTATATGGGATATTGTGGCACCACCATCACTAAATATATGAACAGTGATAGTGATGTCATAATACCATAAGAGAGTTATATGTGATTTCATAAATCTACTTAGTGTATGGGTTTTATGTTTTTCAAAAGAAGAGATGTCATAAAATCTTGTGCCACTTAGAACCCTAAAAATCCTTTTTTGGACAACACTTCTAATCTCTTCACAAGAATCAAATCCAAACCTAATGCCATCAAAAGAGATCCGATTTCCAAACTTACATTTAAATCAAATCTTTTTTTTAATTTCATTGAAATCATAAACCATGAATTAATGAACTTAAACTACCTGAGACATTGTTGCCTTCTGAGTTGCCCTGGTGAATAGACATTTTTACCCTCCGAATTCAAAGAATCCAGATCACAATGTTACAATTCCAATGAATTCATGCTCCTGAATCCTGATCACTCCTTCACTACCCGTACATAAAGAAAGGGCCACAAAAATATAATACTCCGGTAATTCTTTAAAAAAGATAACCAATTTACACAAACAAAACAATAACGAAAATGCATTCATTGAAGCTTACATTGTTTTTGTGTTGAAATAGCATCACCGGTGGAGGCTGACCACGACGAATGGAAATGCAGGACTAAGATTAATAATTAATCAATAATAATGCAATAAATAAATATCATATATGCATGTATGTGCATATATGCATGGCATTCATCATATGTGTGTTCCTTAGCTTGAGATTATTTGAAGGGAAGAAATGATAATTTGTCGTAAAGATTTCACAATATTATGGGACTTTTGTTTCAGTTGGGTGTGAGAGATTGGATGATTTTTCTTCTTTGTTCAGAATTGGAGGAAAAAAGAAACAAAAGTCCGAAAAAGGAATGGGATGTTCTTCCCGGGGTTAGGGTAAGGTAGTTGCCCAATAATTACCGGACAATACCGCCTTCTCCCAATTTCTCTTCTATTTTTATCTGCTTTCTCCTTTCGATTTCTTTTCCCTTGTGTTAAAAAAATATTACCCACTCCATAAATTTTTTAAGGCCAACCTCAATCTTGCTAACATTGATGTTACTTGATAAATTAAACCACGGTATTATTATATCACGAAAAAATAGTTTATCAATGTATTTAGCTGTGCATTTTGTGACAATTTTGTTGTGCATTTTATTTATGTATATACTATGTATCGTATATATTTATTGAAAATGTTATCATTAGTTTATTACGTAGTACTCTGTACTACGTATTAATCCAGTTGTTATCCCGTGGGAGCGGTGCATGGTGGGCATCCCGCTCCCACATTTATATGAAATGTAAATCACGTGAATCAATATATAACTTCAGGTTAATCAAATGTAAATTATACTCATTTAAATGTAACTAGTTGAAATGTAAACTGTTTATATTCACATGTAACTTAGAACCAGGTGAGAAGTAACTTGGGAAATGTAACTTTAGCCTATTGAAATGTAAAACGTCCTTACACAGATGTAACTTTAGATCAATGGATATGTAAATTGCGTTCATAACAATGTAACTCGAGGCCAACAAAACATAAAAAAAAATGGTGCAACAGTTCCTCCTCCTCCTAGACCAGCAACTTCGAGTATGTTGCCTCACACGGGTAGCCTCGTCCCACGACCAGCAGCCTTGCAGCAACAGCCTCATATCAGAAGACACAAGTCGTTAGGGTTTGGCATCCCAAAATTAATGGCCGGGGTGAGAGTATAGGTGGCTAATGGGATTGGCGATATATTCATAGCAAGACAGCAAGCAAGGAGATCGAAGAACCAATGATCTTGATATATGAAGAACCAAGCGATGATGGTCGCCGAAGTTCAATTCGTATCTGCGATGATGGCTATGGTTTCTTTGGTCTCCCTTTTTAATTAATAAAACGACGTAGCTTTGGGATCGGCACACCATGCTCATGGTGGGCCGCTCCCACGGTATAAATTGTGAAATAATGGGAAAGGGGTACTCCAATATGAGCTCTAACAGATATATTTATAATAGAAGAGTTGCCAAAATACAAAGTATTTCTAAATAGATATTAGGCAGATTACCAAATATATATTAGGAAGATTCCTAAATATATTAGGCTATTACACCCCCTCAAACTGTGCGGGAGATACAACGCGCAGGTTGTCTTTTAAAAATGAAATTGCGAACAAAAAAAACTTTAAGTAAATATATCTAAAGAATCAGTTTTTGCAGCAGCACGCGGCGAACTCAACGGCGCGCTGGAAGCAAGCAGCATGGTCAGCGACGCAGAAAAGGTGGGTTGTGCGGACATAGGCAGCAGCAGGCGGCGAACTCAATGGCACACTGGAAGCAAGCACCGTGGTCAGCTACGCAGAGAAGGTGATTTGCGCCATATCAGCTGCGCTCATCCTCAAAGGATCGCAAACTGCCGTAGATGTGACGGCAGTTGACCCCGAGGCGGCGGCGGCTGTACTAGGGTTCATGGGAACCGAAAAGAAAAAAGAAAACAAAATTTTTATCTAAAAACCTAAGCTCTTGATACCATGTGAAATAATGGGAAAGGGGTACTCCAATAGGAGCCCTAACAGATATATTTATAATAGAAGAGTTGTCAAAATACAAAGTATTTCTAAATAGATATTAGGCAGATTCCCAAATATATATTAGGAAGATTCCTAAATATATTAGGCTATTATAAATTGCGGTATTAATCTATCTATCCCTGTAATTATGCTTCATCAATCCCAAATTAAGATTCTAAGACATCATTTATATAGTAAACTTAATCTAAAATTTTATGTGATAAGTTTTTATCACATTTTTTTTTGCAATTTAATAACCCATTTACCGAAGTTTCTAAATGCAAATATCTTAATCATGTTTTAATAGAGTTTTTTCTCGAACTAATACTAATTAAATAAATAATTCCTAAAATACTGTCAGATTAAAAATAATTCTCAAAATACTGCTGGATTAATCATGGTTAAGACACAGTACAAGAACCGCCACTTGAAGTGGCGGCTTTGTTAGAGACGGAATACTTCACCAATCCGCCCACGCAAGAAGCAAGAAGGAATAGCTAATGTCAATAATAAATGGTAGTGGGTCCCAACCTATTTAAAAATCTTCTATTTTCTTTGAAGTACTATAACTTTTTAATTTGTACTCCGATCCTTACAAAAAATATACTAAAATTCCTAACTTTTTATTATCTTTCATATGACACCAATATTGAATACATAAAGTCAAATAATAATTTAACACTTTAAAAATTACTATGAATCTTTTTTTAAAGGGTTACATACGTAATATTTTTTATTTATATTCCGATTATTACAAAAATGTATCAAAATTTATTATTTTTTATTATTCTTTTTATAGGAAAGCAATGTTTCATATAGAAAAATAAAAAGAAAATCTATTACTTTGTGTAGTTTAGGATCGATTTTTACAATGCTCTTCGGATTTTGATATACTCAATATTGATGTTATATAAAGTAAAACAGCATAAATTCTTGTGCGAAAAATAAATAAATAAATAAATAAATAAATAAATAAATAAATAAATAAATGTGATGGATTTTGTGATTTTTTTAATCTATCGCTCTTGATTAATTGTGTGTATGGTAAAAAAATTATCTTAAACTACAAAATTAATAGATTTTCTTTTTATTTTGTATATGAAATATTGCTTTCCTATAAAAGATAATAAAAAACAATAAATTTTCATACATTTTTGTAATAATCGGAGTTCAAATAAAAAATATGTAACAATTTAAAAACATATACTCTGGGCATAGTAATTTTTAAAGTGTTATATTATTTTTTGACTTTATATATTCAATATTGGTATCATATGAAAGATAATAAAAAGTTATGAATTTTGGTATATTTTTTGTAACGATCAAAATACAAATAAAAAAGTTATAGCACTTCAAAGAAAATAGAAGATTTTTTAATAGGTTGGGACCCACTACCATTTATTATTCACTTTGACATTAGCTATTCCTCCTTGTTGTCTGGGCGGATTGGTGAAGTATTCCGTCTTTAACAAAGCCGCCACTTCAAGTGGTTAATCCAACAGTATTTTGGGAATTATTTTTAACCCGACATTATTTTGGAAATTTTTTATTTAATTAGCATTACTTCGGGAAAAAACTCCTTTTAATATTGATGAAATACTTTGTTTATCTAGACATATTCAATTTTATGATCCTAAAGAAGGATCTCGCCAATTTGTTCATTACGCTTTACAGATTTTCTAACATGTTGAGTGACGTACGTGACCAACGTTCTGCTGTCTTATTTGACAAACATTTTTGTGGAATCTAGGTTAACATGGATCCATTAGAGAGCAAAGTTTGGTGTTAGCAACCGTTGTTGTTCCAAATTTCCAATTTAAGCAATTTATAACTCAGTTAAAACTTAAAAGGTAGGTCATCTAGTAAAGATTCAAATTGGATAACTGGAATACTACTTTATGTTGTAGTAGTTTTTTTTAAATAGCATCTGGAATACAAGTTTACAAAGTCCTAAAATGATAATATGCAAGTGTCTATTAATTATATGTCAAAAAACAAATGTATCTTTCAATTTTCTTTAGAAACAATTAAGCATAAAAGTTATAAATTAAGTTGGATAAAACAAATTACACCATCCAACTATATATGTATAGAATTATAGAGAACATATGGCAATTATAATGTCCATTATATGAGTCATGAGTGATTGGGTGGTATATAAACTCTCCAATATATATAGTTCAAGAGTACAAAGTTCAAACTCTTGAAATCTAGAGTCGGGTTATGTTTTCCACCGTACTTATCAATCAATTTTTTTCACCAAACATGTAATTTTTTATTTCATACGCTGAATTGTATAGTTTTAAACAAAAAGTATGATAGAAGCTACTATTCTGAGTGTATTGGCTAAAGTCACCGTAAATGATCATTTTATCTATTTTTTCATATAATTTTTTGGGATATTTTGACTTTGCACCTCACTTTTTAGGTGATATTGGACTTTGCACTCAATTTTCAAAACTCTTAGACTTTGCACATCATTTTCTCTAAAATGTCTTTGCCTTTGCACCCCATTGAGGAAATTTTCTTCACAAAATGTTGTAGATAGGGTGAAAAGTCTAAAAGTTTTGAAAATAGGGTGCAAAGTCCAATATCAGTCAAAAAGTGGGGTGCAAACTCAAAATTCCCCTAATTTTTTCCTATATTTTGTTGATGAAAAATATTTTAAATATAATTATTTTCAGCCACAAATCTAATTACTTCAACCACAATTTCATAAATTTCAATAAAAATTAAATGATTCAGTCAATTTCATGGGGCCCTAATATGTACGAAGTATTTTTATTCTTCGTTTTCTTGGAAGGCAGAATAGGGTTTTGAAGTAAGGTTCTAAACGTCTTATACTCCATAATTAGCACGGAGTATGTAACACAGCAATGAGTATGTATCGTATGGAAGGAAACATCACACACAGGCCAAATTCATGGTTGCAGACGCTTGATTGATGAAGTCACAGCCATACAACTAAGAGACAAGGAACGTTTTTAATTTTTCATGTTCCGTTTGACCTTGCAAAATAAGAATAAAATCACTTTTGATATAAAAGAAACTGTTTTTGCATGCACAATTACACAAAGCAAAGAGAACTTGCTTTCTAAGCTACAAACGAGAGAAAAATCAGATGGTTAAACTGCAAAATGTGGAACTAGTACAATATTCCTTGTCGAAACATGTCATAGCTCTTTCCAGATCCTACCAGTGACTCTGAGTTTGAGCTCTTTCCGATCACCACCGGAGAAGAAAAGAGCCATCTTACGTTGAATGACAAGGCCGTCATAGCTTTCACGAACCTTCCGATGACTGTCCCGTATACTTCTCGGCACCCCTTGCCAAGTCATCTTCCTCCCGTTCCCTCCGACTTCAAGGCTGTAGCTATACTTTTTAGCTTCACTATCATCCCCCATGAACCTCAAG